CCGGTTTACTGACACATTTGTTTTTTCACGTCCGTCTGGAGCCAGAGGGGTCGTCCAGCTCTCTGGGGGTCAAAGATGTTTTAATCTCATAACTTTCAGAGGAACTTTTCAGGAACGTGGAGGCGTGTGGCTCTGTTTCAATGTCATGGAAGGAAAACAAGCAATTAAAACTTGTCTTTGTGATGAACGTGCAAAAACAGAGACCGTTCGTTTTGTTTTTTCTGTCTCTGATTAGAAGAAATGTTGAGGGAAGCAGAGGCCGACCTGTTCGACTGTCTGTGATCAGGTTACTGATGCTGACGAGTCGGCGCGCTTTTCTTTCTCTGGTGCGAAAGAAACAAAATGATTCGCTGACTGATGGAGGTGCTGGTGTGGCCTTTCAGGTGCTCAGCAGAGAGGAGGCGGCGGAGGAGGAATGGGGCGGGGCCGAGGACGCAGAGACAACGAGCTGATTGGTCAGACGGTCCGTATCTCCCAGGGTCCTTACAAAGGTAAGACCGAGGGGACCGTGAAGGATGGGACCGGTGGGGGGGTCGGTGCTGATGGCTTTGCCTCCCTTCCCCAGGATACATTGGTGTCGTGAAGGATGCAACCGAGTCCACGGCCAGGGTGGAGCTGCACTCCACCTGTCAGACCATCTCTGTGGACCGACAGCGACTAACCACTGTGTACGTATCTTCACTGAGTCCTTCACACACACAGGAAATCATTTTCTCCGTGCTGACAGCAGCTGTGTTTGTTCATGCTCATGATTCCCTCCCCGATCCTTCTTCTCTGCAGCGGTGGAGCGAAGAGGCCCAGTGGGTTCACCTCCACCCACGTACGTACTCCCATTTACGGCTCCCAGACTCCCATGTATGGCGTCGGCTCCAGGACACCGATGTATGGATCTCAGACTCCGCTGCACGACGGTAGGCCACGGTTTGGTCGTCCTCTATCGGCTAAAAGCACGTGTTTGTTTTTTGGGTTCGTGTTCCTCCGATTGAATTTCTGCTTCTCTTTGTAACAGATGTGTTACAGTGTTATCGTTAGGGATGGGTATCGTTTAGGTTTTATCCGATACCGGTGCCAAACCGGTACTTTTGAAACGGTGACGGTGCTTAAAGAATGGAGAACACAAACTTTGTCCAAAAACCTCTCATGTTTAGCTGTTTTCCACTTTTTCTTTGGTCATTTTAGCCTTTTTGGCCAGGGTGAAGGGAGTATCTGCCATCAAACAAGAAGACAGCCGCATGTAGCTATGATGATGTTTGCTAGTTCACCTTACATGCATTAATGTAATAACGTGGTTAGCCTACTCAACGTAAATTACACACGAACAACATTAAGCTACTCACGCAGAGAAGAACGGCTGCTGCTGCATCATCATCATCATTCCTGCTACACTGGCAGGGCTAGGGGCCAGGACTCTCCTCTTCGTGTTTTTGGGGGATGTTGCTAACAGGCACCACACCCGCAGTAGATGTGCTCGGTGTGAGGTCTCGCAGCAAGCTATCAAATACGGCGCATTTCTCGGCTTTTAAAAAAACGCTATGCGTCGCCAGGTGTTTCATCAGATTCTTGGTGTTACCTCCTTTGACAGTATCACAGTATCAGCTTAAAGCACTTGTTGCTGCTGAGTTTGCATCTTTTGCTGTGAAGTACAGCCAGACTTTGACCGCTTCACCTCGGGCATTTTTAATCTGTGGCTCTGCTCTAACTGAACGTACGTACCTGGCCCCGCCTACTATGCTCGCAAAGGTAAAACGATTGGCTAGAATCTAAAGTGTATCACAGCTCAGGAAAAAAAAGCACCGAAATGTGCGCTGCTTTTCGGTCTGGTTACTACCGTTTATGTCAGAACCGGGACCCATCCCTAGTTATCAGTATTCAGTTTGTTACCAGGTGGGAGCAAGAACAGCAGTGGGCGGAGCTGTTGGTTCACCAGTGAATATATTGATGAGTTCATTGTTTTTAAAGTAGCGCCTCACTTTTCTCTGAGCCTGGCTCTGATTAAACTGAGGTCCGCCTTTAGTTGAAGCTCAACCAGTAACCTCCTCCAGTTTGAACTGGTGGTGGTCCTTTAACCCGTCACCTGAGGGTCTGAATAAACGCAGCTGACTGTTGGTGCTCGTATAAAGTTGCTTCAACTTGTACGTCTTACGTCCAAATGCGACGTGCCCGTTAAAACAAGGGGAGCTGGTGCTGACACTGGACCGTAGAGTGGGCGTGCGTCATGACTGTGTCATCAGCATAGAGGTGACTGTCCTCACCTGTGAGCAGCACAGTGCTCTCGCCTCTAACTCACAGCATCTTTTGCCTCCTAACAGGAAGCCGTACGCCCCACTATGGATCTCAGACCCCACTGCATGATGGGAGCAGGACTCCAGGTCAGAGCGGAGCGTGGGATCCCAGCAACCCCAACACACCGTCCAGGTGACACAGTGACCGGTAAACACAGCGTTCCCTTCTTTTTTTCTTCTTTCTGTCTAACACGTGATTTATTTCTTCTCAGAAATGAGGAAGACTACGACTTCGGCTACGATGACGAACCCTCTCCGTCCCCTCAGGCCTACGGGACGACCCCCAACCCTCAGACCCCGGGTTACCCCGAGGTCCCCTCGCCACAAGTCAACCCTCAGTACAACCCTCAGACACCTGGCACGCCCGCGATGTGAGTATAAGGCACAGAAACACACCCTCGCCCTCCCCTCCATAGCTGACGTAGCGATATAGCTGATCTGGGTCCTCGATTCTCGATTTGTGTTTCTGTGTGCAGGTATAACACAGAGCAGTATTCTCCATATGCGGCCCCGTCCCCTCAGGGCTCCTACCAGCCCAGCCCCAGCCCTCAGAGCTACCACCAGGTGGCGCCCTCACCTGTCGGCTACCAGAATACGCACTCACCAGCCAGCTACCACCCCACGCCGTCCCCCATGGCTTACCAGGTAGACAACGACGCTGAGCTGCTCGGGCTTTCCCTGAATATTTGTGTTCTGGTTTTTTTTGTATATTTTTTAAGATTTCTTTTGTTAATCAGAGTTTGGATGAAGGGTGGGCAACTCCAGGCCTCAGGGCTGGTGTCCTACAGGTTTTAGATGTGTCCTCGATCCAACACAGCTGATTTTAAACGTTCTCCAGAGGCCTGGTAATGAACTGATCATGTGATTCAGGTGTGTTGACTCAGGGTGAGACCTAAAACCTGCAGGACACCGGCCCGCGAGGCCTGGAGTTGCCCACTCCTGCTTTAGGACCTTTCTGTTTGTGGAGGTCTAGATTTTTCTGAAATTTGTTCTCAGTCTGCGTCATGTCATCTCCACAGGCGAGTCCCAGTCCGAGTCCCGTGGGCTACAGTCCCATGACGCCCGGAGCGCCCTCTCCTGGAGGCTACAACCCTCACACCCCAGGCTCCAACATCGAGCAGGGCGGCAGCGACTGGGTGACCACCGACATCCTGGTCCGAGTGAAGGACTCGTTCATGGACCTGATGGGGCAGACCGGGGTCATCCGCAGCGTCACGGTGAGTCTGAACACTTGACGCGCAGCGGCGCTGATGGCGTCCTCGCTCCCTGCGAGTCTCTGATATTACTGAGAAATGTTTTTTGGGAGATCTGGCTGCGCTCGAGCATAAAATATTGTGAAATGTGTGAAAAATGTTATTCTGGGAGTCGGAGACGCAGCTCTCGCACACAACGATCTGAGGTGTTATTAGGGACGTGCAGATGTTGCTGCTTAGAGCCGCATCACAGTTGTGAAATGTCTCCAAATTCGCCGAGAGCTTAAGAGCCATCTGGTTCTGCTTCCTGCTGCTGTTGGATGGCGGCTCGCTGGATCAACATAAATGCTCCTTTATAAACCCAGAAGAAAGACGTTAATCTGTTCCATATCGACACAGTCCTGACTCAGGAAGTCGTGTTTGTCACAACAGGCGGAGCTGAATCATTTCTGAGTAACTCTGACAGCGATGTTCCTCTGGCCTCCCGCCCACGGTGTTTAGGAACGCGTCTCCGTTACTGTCGAAAGTCAGAAACATTCAAGCGTTTGACGGATTTCACCGTTTAGCGCACAGACAGCTTTGGCCTCAAACTCTGCTTACGTGTGGACAGGAGCACAGACATGTGCACCTTTAGCTCCTTTGTGATGTCAGGCCGTCTGAGGCTTCTGATTGGCCGGCGTGCAGTAACCATTACAGCCGAGCGCAGCTTCGTGAGTGGCGGTGGAGATGAAACGGATTCAGTGTCTTTGTTTAGGCCTGAAATTGATTTTAAAGCAGCTCCTTTGAATATTTTTCATTGGTGTGTGTGTGTGTGTGTGTGTGTGTGTGTGTGTAGGGAGGGATGTGCTCGGTGTTCATGCAGGAGTCTGAGAAGGTGGTGAGCGTCAGCAGCGATCACCTGGAGCCGGTCACGCCCACCAAAAACAACAAGGTAAGAACCACAGTCGCCGTTTCTGGCGTCCAGCTGTCTGCAGATCGTTCGTTTAGAGCGCGTGTGAGGCTCAACGCTGCGTTCGCTGTGCCCCGTTTCAGGTGAAGGTGATTCTCGGAGAGGACCGCGAGGCCACGGGGATCCTTCTGAGCATCGACGGAGACGACGGCATCGTGCGCATGGAGCTGGACGACCAGCTCAAGATCCTCAACCTGCGGTTCCTGGGCCGCCTCGAGCACTGAGCCTCGCAGAGCTCCCACACAAACGTCTGGTTTTTATTACCTAAAGATCCAAAAACCACATGTGGCTCTGTGTGCAGTTCAGCGGGTCTCTCCGTTTTTGGCATTTTTATTTTCTTCTTTTCTTATTAGTGGTCTGAATCTGCTTTTAGTGCTTTTCCTTCATGTTCTGTCTGTGATTTTGGTTTTCTTGATGCAGCAGGATGAAAATAATGTGTAACATGTCAATAAACTGATTCAGTGACATTTCTGTATGTTGTGTCAAAGCCACCAGCCGCTGTCACAGGCTGGGTTGTCATAGCACTGGATAATCGATGCAGTCAGCTGATCAGATTCTGACAGGACAGTTATTTTAGCGGCTCTGACCTTGGGCCTCCGCCATTGTGCAGCTACCAAACGCTGCAGTTCCTGCAACATCCAGCAGAGGCAGCAGTGAGTCCCCACAGACACACTGTTTGGTCTCTGGATGATTTCCTCTTTAACAAGAACACTTTTATAACTCGCCTGTTTAAATCCTATAAGGCTTAAAGTTTGCCTCATTAGGGGCGTGGCCTCTTTGACTGACAGGTGGCTGTAGCTGCTACGTGGCTTCACCTGAGCTCGTCTGTTTGTGCTGTTGGAGCTTTTTTTATTTATTTATTCTGATGACATCATGTGACCAATAACGTGGTTGCTGAGGTTACTGTAGTAACAGACCGTCCATGAAGGCGGAGCTTATTAGCAGGTACCTGTGTGACAGCGATATCCAGGTTTTAAGACGAGTGGTCACTTTCTACGTGTTCCACCTCCCCGAGCGTGAAAACCTTTTGATCTTTTTAAGCACAAATAGAGGAGAATCCCAGCAGACATGTTTCTGCCGTTTTCTGGATGACATGATTGACAGGAAGTGACCAGCACTAAAGAAATGACAAGAGAATCTGTAAAAATCACTTTATTGATGGTTTTTATTTTTCACATTTAAGCTCTTCAGACACTTCCCGCAGTATCTGGGGTAAACCTGCTGCTACTCAGGCTCCACCTGTGATGGCGGTGGCGTTAGCCGCAGGGCCGCTGTGGCCGCTCGTGGTTTATGGGGAAATAGTAGAAGGGCACCCGGTCAGGACAGGGGTGCCCTGGGGAGGGTACCGGCCGTGAGTCGGCGTCGTCAGCATCGGTGCAGAGATCGCAGCCTACGGTGAGGTTCCGATTCAGGCGGATCTTCAGCTGAAACCACAGCTCTCTGTCCTGGAGGAGAGACGGCACACTGAGCTACTGACAGCTGCTCCTCACCTCAGCACTCAAAGTTACACTCGTCTCTGTGGATCGAGGCAGCGGCTCGCATTGCAAAAAGACAACATGAAATTACACATTTTGGGACATGAAGTCATGAAGTTCACACACAGAAGCATCGCACTTGAAAAAAATGTAACCGACGTCGACGCAGCTGGTCCTGAGTTTTCTAAAAGAAACCACGTTAAGAACATTTTCATCATTTTGAGAACAAATTAAAAATTTGGAGATTAATGTGGAAATGTGCAGATTACATTTGTCATACTGCAAAATCAGTTTCAGGTACAATGATTTCTTTCAGCTCAAACACAGAGATGAAAGAAGAAGTGGAAGACTTGGACACGATTGTACGGACAGATGCCAGGTTATTGGTGGTTATCGATGGTTACGGCCTCGTGCAGTAATGGAGACGGATGATCGGTGTGTTTCAACAAGGCATTTTGTCAAACGTGGCAGTTTGTCCTGAAACAACAACGGTAATCTCCACATTTCAGCTCCTGACTGCAGCACAGGACGAGCAGCAGATGGAAAAATGCTGAAGCGAGCATTTGAGAAGCATGAAAGCAGTTTGCAATTAGCAAAGGTGCAGTGCAGGAGCTAACAGTGAGCCAAAGAGTGGACATGAGTGTAAACAACGTGTGTCATCAGGGTAAAGGTGTTTCTCGCCCAGCTCGTTAATAAGAACGGACTGAAACAGGCCCCAAAGTTGGATGAAGGTTTTGTTTTCATCAGTCTGCAGTAAACGGTTTTATGCACAGCAGACACTCGGCTCAGCGTTAGCGCTGGACGTCTGCTGATTGGACTGTAAATGTAATAAAAGTTACATCAGCTTCTGGCTGGTTTACTGACCAAAATCTGTAAAATGACCATTTTCCACGATTATCTGAAAGACTGTTAGTGTTTCAGTGACGGTGAAAGCATTAACACTGAGGCTTTAAAATGCAAATCAAATGGGTGGCATCACATGCTTTATGCCCTCATCTTTCAGATTTTGGTCTAAGTGGCTCTGATTTCCCCAAAGTGGCAGTTCTTCAGAAACTCCTGCAGTCTCACATAGAGAAAACCAGATGCGGTGAAATCTTACATCAAACACAGCAGCGACTCTAAACTCGAAATTCCAGCAAAGACAGTCGTGCAGTCAAGAACGCAATAAATTATTTGTCTGTTCTGCATCTGTAAACACTCCTGCTTGAACATGTGATTGGGTCTAACGTGTTTATGAGGTGACTGTATGAAATATGAAAGGCTTTCAAAATAACTGGCACCATCTCAGCTGTGATCCTGGCTGCACACTGTGTATAAAACAAGCTCTCCTTGGTGGAGGGCAGGCTGCAAATGATATTTGTTGGAAGGAAAGATCTGAACTGAGCAGCATGATCCAGATCTGACCAGTTTCACTCAAACTTTAATGGATGGAGGCCTTGTGGTGTCAGCCAGAGCGCAAACTAAGAGAACTCCGCGGTCAGCGGCTGGAGGAACTCTGAGGACACGACCAACCTCACGAGCCGTCTGATTGGTGGTAGCTGTGTTTGTGAGAGTTGTGATTGTTGGTAACCATCTAACACCGGGGAGAGGTTACAGAGTGAATTCTTCTCCCACGCTCAGATCGACCACAGAGCCTCTTTGTGTTTGGAGCTTTTTAATGTCATCATGTGACCACAGAAGAAAACAGTGCTAGCTAAAGTGAAGTGAAGTTCAGCAGCAGAACAACATGTTCGGGAGAAATGATGGGAACCTCTCAGAAGCCAGAGATGGAGCCACAATGTGTTCAGCATAGCTTAGCATAAAAGCACAGCTGCCCAACCGGCCTGTCTGCATCAAACGTTTTCTCTAATCAGGTGAAAATAAATCCACCTGCACAGGGGGAGGAGCTTCCTATAATTCACCTGTTTAAATTGTATTAAGGCTTAAAGTTTGCATTATTAAGGCAGCTGTAGCTGTAGCTGCAGCTAACTGGAGTCCCTGAACTGGACCTCTGGGCCGTGTTTGGAGCTCATGTATGAGGCAGATGATCAATAGAGGGTCAGCCACCACTAGGGCTTTCCTGGGACTCTGCACCGTTTAGTTTTAGAACTGAAGAACCTTGAAGAAGTCCAGACGTGTTTCTTTCCAAGTTCCTTAGACGACGATGACCTGGATGACTGTCACAGACACGTCTGCTGTGATCCATGTCAGGAGTTTGCAGCCGCAGCAGCAATAAAGGCTGATAAACAGAATCACTGTTTGCTTTGTTTCCTCGAGGTCTTTATGATCATAGCTCACAAGTGTTTGTGGTACTGCTTTGGTTTTACTGCTGTTCATTCATTTTTAATCCAGTCTTTGCTCGTAAATTACCACAAATCTGTTGTTCAAGCTCTGCTTTAAATCTGCGGTCTGTCGGAGTCATTGGTGATTTTAATTCCACACAGACTGAATTGATCAAAGCTCTGATCAGTGTTAGTGCTGTCAGGGTGTTAGGATTAGTGATGCGCGAATCATGAACGAATCGTTCAATACTCGAGAATCACTTTACTGACTCATGAATCATGATTCACAAGCCCAACTGACTCACTGACTCATCCCTGTTGCTGTTAGCAGCAATGTATCTAGCTTATAATTAAAATTGTGGAGAAAAACACAACATCCAGTATCGTAACAAAAAAATTTCTGCTCTGAACTGGAAGAAAAAACCCTGAGTAGAAGCTCACATCAAGAAAATAGCTCCTCGGTTCACAGTAGCATCGCTCTGCTAACATGCTAACAGCACATTTGAGCTACTCACCCCCTCCCTCCTGTGCTGAATCATAGAGCGAACGAATCACTCACCCACCCCTGCCCCCTGGCTCACAGCTCAGTGGACATTTAGATGAGAAAATATGTTTAACGCATTTAAGGAAAATACTAATAAAATAAAAATATATTAAAACAAAATAAAATAAAATAAAATAAATAAATAAATGTTTATTAAGCTATTTTGATAGAAAATTGCTTAATTTTAGAAATGTTTTTGCTCTTTTTTGCTCTATAAAATAGAATCATTCTTAGCAGTGGGATTTACATGAAAAGAGAAACAAATTAAGTTTGAGTGAAAATGTACATTTTTTGCACTCTCTGGTCGACTGACTCAGTGAATCAAATGACTCAAAATCCGATTCACTTTGGTGAGTGACTCATTAAAACTCGATTCAGTAAAAAGAATCAAATTTATCATCACTAGTTAGGATGCGAGACCTGGGATGAGCTGATATCCTCGTGTTGGTGTTGTTCCCAGACCATAATAAAAATGTTGTTCCAGGTTCAACATTGCAAGTGACCAATCACATTGTTGTGACGTTATTCTTCTGCGCGCCAAGCCATTCGTGCATTTATGAAATTCCAATGTTGCAAGGACAATATCAATTCTGCTTACTGTTTATTAAAGGGTCAGGGTTAGGGTCAGGGTCCGTTGATCGGCGGACAGAGGCGGTTTCACGCAGCTTAAGTACAGTTTTTTGTTTTACGCCGGTTTTTCCCGAAGTCACAAAAGTATGACGTCACAACATTCTGATTGGTCACTTGCAATGTTGATCCTGGAACAACATTTAGTATGATGATCTGTGAACAACACCAACACGAGGATATCAGATCAACCG